AGAGAAAGGGAAGGGAAGGGGAGGAAGGAATTAAGAAAGAAAGAGAGAGGGGGGAGGGAAGGAGGGAGGGGAGGGGAAGGGAAGGAGGGAAAGAAGGAAGGAGGGAGGGAAGGAAGGAAGGAAGGAAGGAAGGAAGGAAGGAAGGAAGGAAGGAAGGAAGGAAGGAAGGAAGGAAGGAAGGAAGGAAGGAAAGGAAAAGAAAGTTCTGGGGATTTGGGAAAGGGGATCTTCAGGGTGCCAGTCCAAATGGCATAGTCTTGTGTGGAGTGGGAGAGTGACGTGAAAGGGAAGAATGGTAAGGGCAAGGATTGGTGGGAAAGAACGTGGGATTCCAGGAGGTGAGCGATTAAAGGTGGAGGTGGGCACCATTTCCACTTCGTTAGTGTGCTTAGTGGACTGGCGGGCCCAGAGAGCGGCGCAGCTGGAGCCCTTGGCTACTCTGAGTCCTCTATTTGGGGGGGATGACTACCGAGGTAGGTAAGGCGCACATCTGACCGGCCCATAAAGCCAAAGCGCCCTCCCTCGGGCCCTGGATTCAGAGTCGCCACACCTGGAACTCAGAGAGGATAAAGCAGCCAGCTCTCTAGGTTTGTGCTGTTTGTTTTTGACAGACGTCTACGCCCTTTCTCCCTCCTTCAGGGAAAATGAGTCTATGGAAACGGTTGCCAGAGCCAGCCTACTGCAGTTCCCAGAAGTCTGACTGCTTCGGTAACGCGCGACCGCTAACCAATGAAGCACGACTTCCGGTTGTCGTTCAGGCTCGCGAGAATCACCTTTAATAAGATTGCCTTTAACTCCGGAAATGGATCTGCCTGGTTCCTCCTTTTCAGTATGGCGGCGTCTAGCGATGAGTTACTGCTGCCGCGGCTCCCGGAGCTGTTCGAAACTAGCCAGCGACTTCTGGACGAAGTAGAAGTAGCTACTGAACCCAGCGGCTCCCGGGCAATCCAGGATAAGGTGTTTAAGGGACTGGACCTACTTCACAAGGCTGCCGAAATGTTATCGCAGCTCGATTTGTTCAGGTACGGAGAGGAGAAAGTAAAAACCACTAAGAACGAAGGTGATAAATTATTACTAAGAGTGGAGCCATTGCGCCCGAGTAGAAAGCATTTTTAAGATCCTTTGGTTCCTACTTTTCACTGCGATCTTGTGTCCATCTCCCTTGGCTCCCTAGTATGCATTTTGGGTGGGAACGCCCAGCCACTTCATTGAAAATGGTCGCTCTTGCCTTTTCACCTTTTCCCAGCCCTTTACTTCTGAAGCAAGCACAATAGTTTAAGTACTCAGCTAGGTTTCATAGGCTCCTTTCTGCTCTTTTCAGCCGAAATGAAGATTTGGAAGAGATTGCCTCTGCCGACCTGAAGTATTTGCTGGTGCCAGCGTTTCAAGGAGCCCTCACCATGAAACAGGTCAACCCCAGCAAGCGCCTAGATCATTTGCAGCAGGCTCGAGAACACTTTATAAACTACTTAACTCAGTGCCATTGCTATCATGTGGCAGAGTTTCAGCTGCCCCAAACCAAGAGCAACTCAGCTGAGAATCACAGTGCTAGTTCCTCCATGGCCTATCCTAACCTCGTTGCTATGGCATCTCAAAGACAGGCTAAAATAGAGAGGTGGGTCTGTGGCTTTAATCTAAGGGCTGCAGTGCTATGGGGGTGGGTGCATGTCTTAGTATGTGTGTGGGGACAAAATGGTGTGCATCCCTGAGGTAGATCCTTGTGAAAGAAACCTTGCCCGAGTTTTTCAAAAACCTCTTGCCATTGTTGAGACATATATACCTAACCTTCAGGCTTACTACCTTCAGGTGGCCAACAGCAGCAATATAATTTAACAAAGTACCTCTTGATATTTTTCCTTGTCACAGTGTAACAGCATTCATATGTAGTAAATATCTCTGAGGGCACAAGCTCTCAGCTGTTTATCCACTAATCTTCTGTTTATTAAGCTGCTCTATTCAAAGAGTAGTTAAACATCCCAAACTGATCATAGTCCTGGCACACCTTCATCATAGGACCTTGAAAAAACTGCTTACTCTTGGGGCTTGCCTGTTTACGTGCATGTGTGTGTGTGTTATTGTTGTTTTGTTTGTTTTTGGTGCCAGTCCTAGGGCTGGAACTCAGGGCCTAGACACTGTCCCTGAGCTTTTGTTGCTAAAAGCTAACACTCCTAATACTTAAGCCATAGCTCCACTTCCAAAATTTTTGGGTACCTTATTGGGCAAGAATCTCATAAAATTTCCTGCCCAGGCTGGCCTCAAACCTCAAATATCAGGCTCCTGAGTAGCTAGGATTATAGGCATGAGCCACTGGTGCCTGGCTTAGGGTTTTTTGTTGTCTTTTTTTAAAGTCCACTCAGTGTTCAGGAGCTGCTAGGTACTAAAGATATAATCTGACTGGGTACTTGGAAAAGAATGGGTAGGTACTTGCCATGAAAGAAAATGAGCATAGAAACTATCTCTGTAAAGTGATTTCACAGAGAATGCACAAGGTAAATGAGAAGACAGGAAGAGAACCTCACCAAGGGGAGAAATAGAAAGCTCCCTGGAAAAGGCAGTTCCTGTGCTGAGTTGTTTAATGATGAGTAGAAATAATATCCAGAAGAACTAGGGAGGAGATTTACTGATAGTGTTAGTAAAGCCATACAGGCATTAAAAAAAGATTGCTCTGATAGGAATGTGTGGAAAGGGAACCAACCCATAAGTGATTAAGTGATGCTGAAGGATGTGAGAAAGGTAAATGAGCAGCCTTGTTGCTATTAATTTGGGAAGGTGGTTGAATCCAGTTCCGTCATTTAATTACTCTGTGGCAACTTAATTTTCCCACCTGTAAAACTGAGATAATAATAGGTCCTTCCAGGACTGGGATTGTAGCTTAGTGGTAGAGTGCCTGCCTAGCATGCATGAAGCCCTGGGTTTGATTCCTCAGTACCACAGAAAAGGCCAGAAGTGGTGCTGAGGCTGAAGTGGTAGAGCACTTGCTTTCAGCACAGAGAGGCTCAATGATAGTGCCCAGGCCCTGGCTTCAATCCCCAGGACTGGCAATAATAATAATAATATTAGGTCCTTCCACATATTTTCAGGATTAAAAGGTAAACAATCATAAAGTCTTAGCACAGTACCAACATAGAATCAGCTATAGTTTATATATTTGTGGCTAAGAGTGTGGGACCTGAGTTTCAGTCTCAACTTTACTTATAGGCCATTGGAGGGGACGGGAAGAAACTCACCAAAAGTGAGGTTTGCTTTTTTTAAAAAACCTATCTGAGCCTCCTGTTTTCTCCCGTGTGAAATCAACAATATAGCACCTATTTCATAGCATTGAAAAACATATATGAGATAAAACACATAAAGCAGCACAATATCTAGCACATAGTATTTTATAAACATTAGCTCTTACAATTCTAGCTGTAGACAATGCTAAAGAGGTGTACTCTAATATTCTGACTGAGATCCACTGCAGAATTTTGTTTCTCTTGGAAAAGTACCATGGCTATATTTGCATTTTAACTTGACATTAGAGTAATGGCAAAGGAATGGATGACGGTTGTGAGAGGTGGGATAGAAGGAAGCAGCAAGAAAGATATCTGTTTCTGATTTAGGTATTTGCAGACTTCATGGAAATGGTGAGGAAGAACAGATCAGGAATTGGGAAGGATATGAATTCAGTATTGAGTTTTAAAAGGTACCTAGATGGGGGTTGGAGGCATGGTTCAGGTGGTACAGTGCCAGCCAATGATTGAAAGCATCAGATACCGAGTTTGAGTCCCAGTCTCAGAAAAACAAACATATAAAAGGTACAGCCAAGTAGAGGTGTCTGGTAACATTACAGAGCTGAAAATTGGTTGATATATTTGGCAAATATATCTTGAGCCCTACCTGTGTGCCAAGGACTGTTCGAGATGTTAGAAAACTAATCATACACAATAAATTTGTAAATAACATAAGTTCAAGTGGTAGGAACTATGAAAAATAATAAAGTGTGGTTAGGGAACAATGAGGGATTTTTAAGAATATGGGATAGACAGATACAAAGTGGAATTCAGTTCTTTTAGAATAGGATTGGGGGCAGCTCAGTACTATATCACAGGTAATTGAAATGGTGAATGTTGTATCAAAAAATTATGCCAAATAAAAGTGCAAATGCCATAGAGATACAGTGTTGCAGAAAATAAGGGCATGGTCACAGACAATAAGGGAGTGGTCACATCTGGTTAGAGGAATAAGGAAAAGGCTTCAGAATATGATGGCATGAAAGGTGGGTCTTAAAAATTGATAAAAATAGAAGTTACAGATTTCTTGAATATAAAAGTCATAAATTTTCATTGTAGAAAGTTTGCCAAACAAGAATATTTTAAAAACCAAAGTATGCTTTTTCCTAACACTCCTAGATGTCACAGATAACTTTCTGATGTATTTTCTTTCAAGTATATAGTTATTTTAGCCAATAAATTTGGACTAATATCCTAAATATAGCTTTTTTTTAACCTAACATTGTGAGCATTTCCCATGTCTCTTAAAACCATGGTATATAATGATTGTGTATATTCCATCCTATAGTTATACCATAATTATTTAATCTGTTATCAGATATTTAGATTGACTTTTTATTTTGGTAATACTAAGAAATGTCTTGAACAAACTTCTTCAACTGCTTCATTCAATATCTCCTTGGAATATATTTCTAGAAGTACCAGTGATAGGGTCAAAGGATCTTAAAGGCTCTGGATATATGGTAACAGTGTTGCTTCCCATAGTAAGTTTCAGAGTAAGTCCGATCACACTAATCCTGAATGTTAAGGCTTAAAAATCCTACTGGAAGCAGCTCACCAGTGGCTCACACCCATAATCCTAGATACTCAGGAGGCTGAGATCTGAGGATCTAGAAAAAATCCAACTGCGGGGGGGGCGGGGGGCAGGGGAACTATCTCATTGTATTGTCTTGCATTTCTTTGGCTTTATCTTTATTTTTCCTGTACCAGAGTTTGATCTCGGGTTGTGTAGCTAAGCCTTGCACTTGTTCAGCTTTCTTGCTCTGCAAGTATAGAATGCCAAAAGAGAACAAAGTCAGAAAGACTAGTTTATAGTATCCAACTAGGGATGAAATAGTAAAAATGAACATACAGCAATCAGAACTACTTTTGAAAGAAGTGTTTATATAATTAGAAAACACATTATTTGGGCCTGGGGATATAGCTTAGTGGTAAAGCACTTTGCTAGCATGAATGAGGTCCTGAGTTCAATCTACAGCAACACAAAGCAAAGGAACTTAAATTACTTACATCCTTATTTGCTTTCTTTAATTCCCTTTGCTCATGTCTTTAGATACTGAGACTATCCTAAATAAAATACCAAATGGTATATTACCCCTCTCATGTTCCTTCATATGTAATCTCTAGTTACCCTCTTTGAGAAGGGAGTGTGAGTTTATCTGATTAACAGTACCACCATTCTTTTGGTAGAAAATTTTTTATTTATTTTTTGGTCAGTTGTGGGGCTTGAACTCTGGGCTTGGGCACTGTCCCTGCGCTCTTCAGCTCAAGGTGAGCACTCTACCACTTGAGCCAGAGCGCCACTTGCAACCACCATTCTTTTGATAGAAATGAAGAAGTAGAAGCTGGGTAAGTACTGACTCTAATTTTGGATTTACTGAGTTTGAATTTAGGTCCTAAAGTGACATGGGATAGACATTCCCACAAAACATTAAAATGTGTTACTAAAACTTAGGAGAGTGCTTTGTAGCTGATGCAAAAATATTAGGAACTCCACCTTTGGTAAGTATGAATGAGTTTTTCAAGAACACAAAGAAAAAAAGCTAAGGATTAAAAGTAAGGAGCAAGTTAAGGGAAAAAGAAAAGGAGGAAAGAGCAATCAGATAAAAGACTCAACAAGGCACAAAGGATTTTCAGTAGGCTGGAGAGGAAAGAGTATGTTGTATCCTCTTTGAATTCTCTCCCTGCCTATTCCTCTGCTACTACAGTTCATATTACTTAGCACAACACTTAGACTTGAAACTCCTCAAAGTCAGGAGACCATAACTGAAGGTATTTAGTGTCCTTGTACCTCTTGGTACCCCTCCTTGTAATTGAATCATATTAAGAACTTGGTATTTGGAAACTCACATAGAGTGGTAATCAGAAATATGGAAGCAATGTAGTATAGTACAATTTTTTTTGGAATCATGAGACTCAGCTTGGCCAATTTTTATTGTATTAATTTATTTATTTTGGTGAGCACTGGAGTTTGAACTCAAGGCCTGGGTACTTTCCCGTAGCTTTTTTACTCAAGGCTGGCACTCTACCACTTGAGACACAGCTCCACTTTTCACTTTTTGATGGTTAATTGAAGATGAGTCTTTGGACTTTGCTATACAAGCTAGCTTTGATCCTCATATCTCAGCCTCCTAAGTAGCTAGGATTTCAGGCATGAGATACTGGTAAGTGACATAGAAATTTCTACTGCTTAATAAATGGAGCATCATCTAGCCTCTCTTAGCTTCAGTTTTCTCATCAGCTAACAATATTTACATTGCTGTTTACGAAGCATTTTTTTTTGTCAGTCGTGGGGCATAAACTCTGAGCCTGGGCGCTGTCCCTCAGCTCTTTAGCTCAAGGCTAGCACTCTACCACTTGAGCCACAGCGCCACTTCTGGCTTTTTCTGCTTATGTGATGCTGAGGAATTTAACCCAGGGCCTCATGCATGTGAGGCAAGCACTCTACCACTGAGCCACCATCCCAGCCCTTACAAAGCATTTTAATTTGTATTTTTTTCCATTTGATCCTCTAACAACTCAGGAAATAGCCCCCCATTATAAAGATAATGAAATTGGATCTTATAAATAGGTAATAAATAAGCAGTCAGGCTAGGACTTTAAACCCAGGTGTATAGTTACTCAGTTCTAATGTTCTTCTCTGTATACCATAGAAAAGAAAAGAATGGTCATTTGAAAGGGTATAAAATGGGTTGAGAGAATATATTTGTAAGATAGGGAAAGATAACAGTCAAGTGAAAACTTAAAGCTGCTAAATAACAGTGTGATTGTTGGGAAAATAAAATGATGAGACAGCTCCTTAAAGATGAGATAAACGGGGGCTGGGAAGGTGGCTCAGTGGTAGAGCGCTTGCCTTGCATGCCTGAGGCCCTGGGTTTGATTCCCCAGCACCACATAAGCAAAAAGAAAAAAGCCGGAAGTGGCGCTGTGGCTCAAGTGGTAGAGTGCTAGCCTTGAGCTGAAGAGCTGAGGGACAG